ATCTTATTTTCTCTTTATTATAGGTTCTAATATATTTGGTAACTTTCGTATTGTTTTAGTTTAATTAGAAGTTTTGCTTAGCTTACAGTTTAATTTCATATTTTATTTGGTTTTGTTTTTATAATAGCTAGTTTTATTTTATCTATGATTGGTTTTAGTTTTGTGTTTCTTTATCTAATTTTACTTTATTTATATTCATTTTACATGTCATCTCTCCATTGTTTAATTTCATTGGTTTTTGTAGGTTCATGTTTTAAGTCTCGAGGTCCTTATTCGAGTTAAGCTATTACAAAACAACATCATCGTTCCAACCAAACACCGACCCCGCTTCCAGGGCAATTATTATTAAAGCCTATTGTACCATTTAATTAAATATCACATATTTATATTTGCTCATTTGTACAAATTTTTGTTTATTTTCACAATGAGCAAATTTTCTATACTAAATGAACAAATATTTTTTTTTTTTGCTAATTTGAAGATGAATACATACATTATTCACTCATTTGAAGAAAATGAACAAATTTATCCAATTAAGCTCTTTTTCTTATTTCACTACTAGAAAACAGGCCATTTTCGACGGAAAAATTCCATCGGAAACACCTTGAATTCCGTTGAAAAACACGTTTCCGACGGAATTTCCATCGGAACCGGTTGTCGAAAAGGCATTTGTAGGAAAAATGACCTTTTCCGACGGAAATTCCGTCGGAAACACTTATCTGACAAAAATTCCGTCGGAATTCTGTCGTCAGAAGAGGATTTCCGGCACCGGAAAAGTCATTCGGAAATTTCCGACGGACACAAATCCGCCGGAATTTTTTGACGGAAATTCCGTCGAAAACTGATTAATGAAATTAAAAAAAAAAAACACGTCACACCACCATCGGCACGGCGTATCACCACCTCAGAATACCACCAGCCCTTAACTAACTCTAAGCCCAGACCGCCACTCCCCAAACTAACCCAGATCCACCCACCACCACCACCACCGAACCCCACCCTAACTCTAAACCCACCTAAGCCCATAGCCACCATAAACTGAGCGCCACCCACCACCACCACCACCGAACCCTAAACCAGTCCCACCTAACCCAAACCTTGACCGAACCCTAACCAAAACCACACCAAACCCATACCCAGATCCACCCACCTAAAACACCCAAACCCTGACCCCATCAGACGCCCAACACCACCCAAAACCCAGATCCCTACCCACCACACTAACCAGGCCACCTCACTAAAACCTGTAAACACACTAACCTACCTCACCACCCACCAAAACCTGTAACCCACCTCACCAGCCACCAGAACCCCAACCTAAACCAGATTCCCACGCACCACGACCCCCATCCCAACCCACCAACACCCCCACCCAAACCAGATCCATTCGAAACAACTAACCCAATCCCACCCTAACCCTTACCTTGAACACAAACCACCCACCACCACTACAATTCAACCACACATCACCTTAAATTTTTTTAAAAAAATCTCAATAAACAAAATAAGAGAAAGAGAAAAGAGAACTTACCTTGAATTCCATCAAAACCGCGAAATTGGCTTGAATTTGGGTTTTAAAGGTTAAATTCGACCTAGAGTTTTCATGGTCGAATTTAACATGAAAAACCTTATTTTGTTCAAATAATTATAACCCTAGTTGATTTTTCATGCGTGAGGTGTTGCGAGTGGGGGTTGCGGGTTTAATCTTGGACTTACGGAGAGAGAAGAGGTCGAGAGAAGAGAGGAAGGAGAAGAGGATGAGAGAAGAGAGGAAGGAGAAGAGGATGAGAGAAGAGGAGAGAGAAGAGAGAATCAGAGAAGAAGAAGAAGAAGAAGAAGAAGAAGAAGAAGAAGAAGAAGAAGAAGAAGAAGAAGAAGAAGAAGAAGAAGAAGAAGGCGGAAGAGAGAAGGAGAAGAGGATAGAGAAAGAGAAGAGATGAGAGAAGAGGCGGTTAGGGTTTGTTTAAATGGGGTATTTTCTTTTTAAAAAAAAAAATTATTTTCTGACGGAATATAAATCCGTCGGAAACTGTAATTTACGACGGAAAAATCTGTCGAAAAATACATATATTTCGACGGATTTATATTCTGTCAGACATTTCCGACGGATTTATATTCCGTTAGAAATTTCCGACGGAATTGTTAAATTTGTCGGAAATTTCTGACAGAGTATAAATCCGTCGGAAATTTTGAATTTTCCGACAGATTGGAAAAACATGTCCGTCGGAAATCGGCCTATTTCTAGTAGTGTTTACTCTCTATATAAACTATTGACTATCAATAAACAAAATAAAGCTTCTATCACCCAACAATAACAATAACAATATCAATCCAGATATTCAGCAAAAATAAACTTTTCACTTTCCAAACAAACACTATTTAACTATTACAAGCTTTGCTCATTAAAGCCGAATGAGCAAAATTTACAACATGTTGTACAACTGGTTGTCTGATATATGAGCTGTAGAGGGAGTATTACGTAGGATGCACGGACACTTCGTCCAACAGCCGTGTCCGTGTCCGACACCGTGTCGGACACCAACACTCGTTCGACACACGACGGACACACATAAAAATTTCATCCGGTTTTTTTAATATATTTAGGCACTTTGAGACAAATCGTATCCTACTATGATACGATCTGGTTTGCATTTTGATATGTCACCTCATCTTTTTAACTTTTTTAATTAGAAAGTTAAGATAAAGTATGAGAGTAAAAGGTAAGAGTTATAATACGAGCGTCTTCAAAACACGTTTCATAGCACATTATTGTATGTGAATTAGGAGAATATTATTTAGCTACGGTAAATGACTTGTTTTAAGGTTAATTATTTAGTGTTTTGTTGAATAGGTTGTCAAAATCTCTTTTTTTTATATATTATTTGTCTTGTTATTTGTCGTACCTGTGTCCCCTATTTTAGGATTGCCGTTTTTCCGTGTCCGTATCGTACCCGTGTCCGTGTCCGTGTCCGTATCGGTGCAACCTAGATGTATTACACAATTTTATTTCTTTATTGTACTAAAGTCTATTATGAAGTACGAAGTATTATATTATAAAAGTATTTATTTCTATTTTTCTAAATGTATGGTTGCGGGTATGAGGTGGTTACAAAGTGGGGCGGGGGTAGGGGCGGGGGCGGGTATGACCTAAAATCCACCCTGTCCTAGATTTCACCGAAATACAAGCCTTTTTGTTAGACAAAAGACTCTGATCGAATTTTAGCCCTCACAATTTTTTTGGTCTAGACACTTTGAAAGTGAGGGAGAAGACCGGAAAGTAAGAAATCCCCACCCTAACGTCAAGTTAAAAATGTACAATATTTTATGAGTTAACTACATAATTAGGCCCTAAGTTCTTACTTTTTTCATTCTTTGGATATTCACTTTTTTTTTCACTCTTTGAGTAATATAACCAATTTTCCGGCCAACTAACCCCCAACTCACCGTTAACTTAAGCTAATTAAAAATTTCTTTATTTATTTATTTATTTTCTTTGTTATTAAAAAAAAATTAATTTTTTTCAAACAAAAAATCAACTACATTAAATTATATCCATCTTCAAGCCTAGAACAGGGGAGTGGGAGTTCTGCAATGGCTCCACCGCTCCAGTTAATTCCTTTTCATATTTTACAACCATATATATTTTCCCTAAACAAACATCTATTGACCATAACCTAGTGTTAGAGGAGTCAAATTAACACATAATTCAAGGAATTTTGCGACAATTAAGATAAAAAAATTCAGATCATCCTTTGTTTTGGGTAACAACCCCTTAATTTTGATCAAACCCTAGCATTAATTCGACTAACACAAGCCACATTTAGATCAAACAAAGATCAGACAACAAAAAAAAAACATTTAGAAAAAACACAAAATCAAGATAATTTTAAGGCAAATAGCATGACAAAGTGTTTTTCATCCCCAAAAAACCAAAACCTAACTCGTGAAATCCACTATTTCATACAAAAAAACAAAAAACCCGATTTAATGAAGAAAAAAACAAAAACAATATTGTAGAATCGTATATACCTTAGTTGTTGGAACAAAATCGTTGTCTTTTTCCCCAATCTAGCTACAATCCACGAAAATTTCTCTGTTAAAGCTTCAATAACACACTTCAAAAGAAGAAAAAAAAACAAATGAAAAGGGGAAGGGGAAGGGAAAGTTAATTCCTCACATTTCAATTGTATTGTTATACGTGCTTAGCTGTAATTCCAAAAAAAAAGAAAATCAGTTAGGTTAACCCAAGGCCCTATCTTTTTAACCCAAGAACTATCTTTTGCTAATGTATTTATTTAATTTGGCCGGATTTTGGGTTTGTGTACCCAAACGGTGAAAAAAAAAATAGAGTACTCAAACGTTGAAAAAAGTAAGAAGTTAGGGCCTAATTGTGTAGTTAACTCAATATTTTATTATCTATTAACTATTACTAAAACAAAACGTGCTGATGTCATCAATTCCTTAAAGTGTCTTATGTGTCAAGGTCTTATTAAAAAAATTTCCCTCCAAACTTCAATATGATGTCATCATTTTTTATTTATTTATTTTTTTTTAATTTTTTGCCCTTTCATTTTACTTGCTTGAAATTAGGACAAAGTAGGTATGAAACTAAAAATCTGAAACTTGAATTTTGTATCAATATTGTTGTATACTCCGTACTAATTTTGGATATTCCTAATGTACAACAATATTTAATAAATATAGATATGTGTCTTTAACTTCCACTCTAAACGTATAAGCTCAATAGATAATACAACATTAAATATATTTTGTCTAACCATCATTTTAATATATTTTCAATAACATAGTAAATATTATGTAGCATAAAAAAAATAACCATAAAAAAAAAGATTATTTACATTTTTTTTTATATTTATAAAAAACATCTTTATACAAAAAAATTTAAAAAGTTATCAACAACCAAAGATATAAAAAAAAAAATACGGATTAATTACTTATCACCGCCGTATAACCACTGAGAGTAAAAATTTCTCGGTGATTGGATTTCATCTCCCTTACACGGTGTTCTCCGTAGTAGCTCCGTAATATTTTATCATTCACGATTGTCAAAGTAATTTACTGGATTCGGTCTTTTCTCATCTGAAAAATCAAAAAGGGCGTCCTTCTTCCTTCCTCCTCCTTTACTCCATCCTCCAATTTGAGGATTTTGAGAGGAAAGGATTTCGGGTTTATTCAATCTTTTTCCACAAATTCGAATTCCAAGACTCACCCGTTTTTTAGGTAAATCAATTCTTGTCTAATCTTCTTTCTAAATTTGATTGATTTTATTCAATTTTGCTTATATAATTTAGTTAGCCATGCTTTAAAAAAAAAAATTAAAAATTCAGATTTGGGGTTTCATTTGAATTGAACACGGTAAAACCCTCTTGAATTTGTAGTATTTATGATAACAATTTTGTGATGATTGAATGCAACAGTTAATATGCAGAGCCAAGTTGTATGCAATGGTTGTAGAACTGTTCTTTTATACCCGAGAGGTGCAACCAATGTTCGTTGTGCCGTTTGTAATATAGTTACCCCGGTCCAATCGACGGCCGCTACAGGTACTTTAAATATGTGTATGATTTATTTATTCTTTATCGTAGTTAATTCCAGAATGTGAATTTTCTGCATTATTTTTCGGTGTTTGGGGATAGGCGGGGTTGAGAGGTAGGCAAGAAAACTGTGTGAGGATTCGAAGTTTAATTTACTTGAATTAAACTAATTTACCGATAAAGGTACAATTGGCTCAAGTAGCAACATAATGATATGTTTGGAATTCTGAAGATTATAGTGAATTCAAAGTGTATGATTAAGTAAAACTAATTTACTGATAAGAGTGCAATTGGTTCGATTAGCGTGACATAATTATATGTTAAGAATTTGGATGATTATAGTAAGAGCATGAATTCTAATGTGGGAATGATCTAGGACTAGTTCTAATCATTCAGGGTTTTGGGTCAGGCAGGGGGTGGGGAATGGTGAAGAAACTGTAGTCCTCTCCTTCTATCATTTATTAATCATTTTAATCACCACTCCTATCTTTCATCTGTCAGAGTTGATGCCTAAATCTCTCTCTCTCTCTCTCTCTCTCTCTCTCTCTCTCTCTCTCTCTCTCTCTCGAACATATTACTCACTTAGTAGGATATATTATTGCAAAGGTAAATTCTGGATAAGAAAGTGACATAACTTTGGTGATCAAGTCAGTACTGTGTACAATTACATTTAGTGAGCACTGAAAGCGAAGAGAAGGAGCTAGAAGTTGTAATTCTACAATGAAAATTAAAAAAACGTATAACTTAGCAGGTTTTTCAAAATCAACCAATTTTGCAATGCTTATGGTTTTCAATGAAACGTATAACTTAGCAGGTTTTTCAAAATCAACCAATTCCAAGATGATAGTGAGAGACATGGTTTGGAATGAAAAAGACGTATATCATAAAAATTGTTGACATTGTTAAAAATATATATTGAGATATTTATATGAATGTGAGGAGTGCACCAGTTCATATAAATATATATTGGAATGAAAAAGAAGTATATCATAATAATATGTTGACATTGTTAAGGATATATATGAATGGTTTGGGCATGTAAGACGGAGACCCAAGGGTGCACCGGTTCGAAGAGTGGGACCATGGAGGGGTTAAACGAGGGAGAGGGAAACCGAAAATGACTTGGTTGGAAGGAGTTATGAAGGATATGAAGTATATGGATTTGCATGCGGATGAAGTATTGGATCGTAAGGGATGGAGGAGGAAGTTTTTTGTGGATGTTCGCACGGAATAATAAAATTTGGTTCATGTAGCCGACCCCATTTATGGGATTAAGGCTTTGATTGATTGATTTATTGATATGAATATGAGGAGTGATGGAAGATTTGCATATCGTGATTCATAGAACCGCAATATATACTTTCCTCTTTTCAATAATAGTAAATGGATTAACAAGTTAGAGCAATGGAAACAACAGTTTTAGTGTCTCGAGGGTATAGGATAAGTTGGAATAAAACCAAGGACATGGTGTGTGATGAGGACATAGTGACATGTGGACATTAGATGGTAAGGTATTTCCCTTTAGTGAATTTTGTTGAGGAATGTAACTTATAGGATTTAATTTGGTTGACTGAAATCGAGAGCACCAATAGTAATACTATAGGATTGCTTAAGTGGAGAGCATCAACGGTGATATTGCTGGACCGTTGTGTCATGGCTTTTAAATCGACATTTTTATGTTCGTTGCAATGTTAGGTATCTAGGAAAGATCATATTAAGATGATGGGTGTAGAAAATGTGTTTATACAAAAATTGTGTGCGAAAGCCTCGAGGGGATTGAAATGGGAGTGTAGGTAGGGTAGAGTTGTGGATATTGAAGAAAAAGGTAAGCGAGAACTAAGTACGTTGATTTGAGCATAAGATGCATTGATAAGGAAAGTGGAGAGTTGGGATGATGAGCATATGTCCCTAATTGGAAGAAGAGGAAAAGGTTCTTTGTGGATGAATATGAGAGAGAACTTCTTGGTTCACCTTATCCTTTTGGGCTAAAGGCTTTGCCATTGTTATTATTTTTGGAAATTTTTTATGCTTGACTCCTTAATTTCGGTTGCTCTTGAGCAAAATCTTGGACTGCAACATTATACAGTTATCTTTGTGACAACGAAAATAGGGGTTAGAGGGAAGGCCCTTGGTGCATCCTAATACTTGCAATTGACAGCAGTGGCGGAGCCACAAATTTCCATTGGGGGGACAAATAAACGTTGTATAGTTTGACAAAAATATTGGGAAAAAAAATCAATACTTGAACAAATAATTAGTTAAATAATTAAAGTTTTACAAAATTCAAAATACTTGATAAAGAAATCTAACATCATATACTAATTATTCCTCCTCCGATGGTACATTATTAGTATTTGAATAGTGACGGGTCTATAAATATTTACTTATGGGTTGGAATTTTGACGAATTCTAACATAAGATAATATAGATAATTAAATGCACTTATCATTATTCCTTATTACAACCATAATTTATTGTTAAAAATAATGGAAGGCAAATTGTCTTAGACATTTATAGTACAAAAAATTAAAGAAACCAAAATGCTTTAACTAAAAAAAAAAGTTAAAATAAAAAAAGTAAACAAAAAAATTAAAGAAAATAAAAAACGTAATATGCTTTAACTAAAAAATAAGGTAAAATAAGAAAATGTAAAGGCCAGATATAGGTATTGATCCCGGGTTGAGCAAATCTCACTTGTGGGGCTTTACCACTGCACCATTTAAGTTGTTGAATGTATTATTACGCATGCAATAATATTTATTACATATATTTTATTAAGCTGATTATTTTTATTTTATTTTTTTTAAAGTGGGGGGACAGCTGTCTCCCCTTTCCCAGGCTGGCTCCGCCCCTGATTGACAGAACACATTAAGCATATATGAATAACTGTGAGATGCTTGTGTTCATAGCTATCTAAATTATTAAGCATATACCGGATATAGGTAAATTAGAATATATGAGTAAAACTTTAGAACATCTACCTACATCCTAATTTACCAATATCCGGTATATAAACTTTAGAATATATTCTAATTTACCTATATCCGGTATATAATAAAGTTTTACTCAGATATTCTAATTTACCTATATCTGTTCATAGCATTCAATTTGTCGTGATCCTTAATTGTGATCGTTTGTCTACATATATGCTCTAATGGATTTTTTTTTCCATAGGATTGGAAATGGATCAGATCATATGTGGGTGTTGTCATACCTTACTCATGTACTCACGGGGGGCGACAAGTGTGAGATGCTTGTGCTGTCACACTGTGAATCTAACAAATTCCTCTCCAGGTACTAAATTCTATGTTGCATGTATGAGAAGTGGTGGATAAAACCTGTCAATTGTTCACTTATGTAAACGAAAGATATCTCATAATTGTAGGCTAATATTCTAGCTGTTTGAGCTTCTAAGCATCCATAGTTTGAGATGCAAGTAATTCTGTAATATTGTCATGTTGATTGTGTTACTCGGGGTTTTATCTATAGTTTTTCCTGAATACCTATACCTTGTTTTATTGGAAAATAACAAGTTTTATTCAACTTATTACCCTTGAGTACACAGGAAACTAACTACCAAACCAAGGAGTAACTGTTGGGAATACATTTGCCAATATCAAGTACTTTCCATGTTAAACTCCTTGCAACTTATGTCAAGACACAAGCCCACGTGGCTGTTTAGTTGCTGCCCATATCTGGCCCAAACTGCTTTCCCACACTCACTTGTCTGCTTGAACCCTATCCTGGACAGAGATTCACCTTGTGTTTTTTGACCCACTAAAATAACATGAAGGTAGAAGATTTAGAATTTACAGAAGGGAAACCCATTTTAACTTGTGTCAATCATAATCAGTAACTTGAGTATTGCAATTTTCATTCTAAACAGTATGAAGTATATCTCTTTATTAGTGGGCAAGGGGTTTGTGGATAGTTATCTTTACAAGTTTGAATTGTTTATCTTAGTATGTCCTGCCCCTGTTACTTGTGGCATTTTAATGCTAGTTGACACAAGTTCCTTTTATTTGAAAACATTCTGTCAGACATCAACATTTATGGAATCATGGGTACAAAATGGGTTAGAAAAAGACATACTGGAATTCTATATATATATATTGAGATACACTTCAGTCATCCTGTCATAGCATACATGCTAGAATAACTGTTTGTCTGTTCCACACTCATGAAATCATAGATGCAAAATGGGTTAGAAAAGGACATACTGGAAGTTCGACTCACTTTGCAATTGCGCGGTCTCCAATGAACATCTTTGACCATGAATAACTCCAGTTGTGTATAAGTGAAATTTGTAAAAAGTTGATATTTGGATTATTTATAATAAGGGGAATCTAATATGATCTCACATGCTAATTTATTTATAGTGTATAGCTTATAAAATGTGATCAAAGTTATTTTATTTTGACCATATGAATAGTAAGTGAGTCGAACTTTCAGAAACGGAAGTAGTACACATGCATACATACATACATACATACATATATATATATATATATATATATATATATATATATATATATATATATATATATATATGTATAGGGTTGGGATCCAGTGAGAAGGGCACTTAAGGTGAGAAGTGTGGATACATTAAGTATCTGTTATAGGTACATCAAGTTAATATTAAGGATACATCAAGTAATTATTGCAAATACATCAACAAATTCACTTGATCAAACAAAAGTAGACATGGCTTTCTTTCACCCTTCCCCTGAATCCATATCTCACCTTTGGCACTCGTGACTACTTTAAAAAAAAAGTAGTGTTACAAGTTTCTGTTCAAACTTATAATATAGTTACAGATACATTAATAGAATATTATAGATACATTACTAGTATACTACAGGTACATGACTAGCATATTGAAGGTACATTACTAGTATACTACAGATACAATAGTCTAGTGTACTGGTATATAACAAGTACATCGAGACAAAATTTGTTTCCATCAATTTTGTTTGACTCAACAGAGATGAGTAGATTCAATATGCAATTATCATAAGAATTTGTAATAATCCAAATTAAACTCCAAATTTAAAAATTTTCATCATCTTCACTATTGATAAATCAGATTCATACAGTCAATTTGTCAACAAATCACCTTCAAACCTCATATATGAGTACAATCTCTATCATTTTCTAGGCCTTTTTTCTGTCCAATGAGATTCGGCAATCGACAATGGCAAGTTGAGTGATTATAGTGAAGGGAAAGAGGGTTAAGTTAACGTCGCTGAAATTGCCAGTAAAGGGTTATTGGAGGAGAAAGAAATCATACTTGTAAAGAGGTGGGGGCGAAATCTTATACAATTAATTGGAACAAATTAGAAGCTATGTTAATGGATTAAATGTTGAGAGTTTAGCTGAGAAAACTAGGGAGGGAGATAGAGGCTTGCTTGGCCAGAAAACGAAATAATAATCATGGTGTAGTAGCTTTCCGTTTTGACTTTAAAGCTTTAAGTGACTAACAATCAAGTTATAATCCCGACTGCAAATATCAAGAATTGATGGCTGAGATTGTTTCTCACCCTTCTCACCATAAGAGCTCTTCTCATATGATCCTAAATATATATATAAGATACACTCCAATTATCTTGTCATATCTGTATTTGACTTGTACATGTCAGATATTGTTTAATCAAATAGTTAAATGTGCTAATTTTGTGAGAGAAGCCTTAAAGAATCATCTGTTATTATATTTTTTAGTTTTAATTATTTTCAAAACAGTCATTGTTCACCAATATATGTGCCTGAAATATACTTATACAAAACTAGTTTCTCCCTCTGTTCTTTTTTTTATCTTCCTACTTTCCATATAGACAACTTTCCATATAGTCAGTTCTCTCTCTCTCTCTCTCTCTTTTCTTTTTTATTTTATTTTTATTTTTAAATTTTTAAGTTTTTTATTTTTTATTTTTCTACTTTTGCTTTATTCCTAATATAGTTAAAGAAATTTCCATCTTCATCTCTCCTTAGCCCACCACATGGTCCACATTACAGTATATAATAATACCATTGTATCTACACAACTTTCTCTTTCCTACCCAAAAAGTAAACAAGGGACCCACTATTCACTTACCCTTTTTTCCTTTTTATTTTCCATGGTAAGTAGGAAGATAATAAAAGAACGGAGAGAGTACTATGGTTAAATATATTTTCTAAAGAATTTATATGTTCTATACTTTTACTGGCCTGATAATGCAATGAATAGTAATAAAATAGGGAATTAAGGATAACGTAAAGGAACACCTTAGGAGAGTTCTTTTCTAAAAGCAATAGACTTCTTGATTGGTGAGGATATCTGGTCGGTTCCTGGAAATATTGTGGAAAACTTGCAAGTGTTTTCTGCTTTCCACATTTGAAGAGTTTGTGTAACATAGGTAACATTTAAAAAGATAGTGAAATAACTTTAATGGCATGGTGCTGCTGCCGGATGTTTTTACATACTTACTAGGCATTGCCTGGATTGAGTCGTTGCTTGTAAAATTAGATTAAAAGAAACTTTTCAAATGAATATAGGCGGGGATAAGAATCGTAAGATGATTTAATCACTTTGATGATATAAGCTAATAACAATTGAAAATAGATTATAGAAGTAATGAAAATTAAATAGTAGTATTGTACACAATTTCTGTTTAATTTTGTTCTCCTCTAGATAGAACTTATTATAGTTTGGTGTGGTAAGCTAAATAATAAAATGGCATAGATCAGATGGTAATTTTTTGCTTTTAAATTGGGAGGTTAAGGGTTCAAGTCTTGATTGCCGCCCTTTTATGTGAGGAGCATATTCGAGTTGAATGTATGTTAAAGAGGAGAAGGCAACATGTGGCATGATAGCATTATTATTCTTGTGTTCTAGGAATAGATCTTGGATATAGTTCATGAAATGACTTTATCTTGGTGTCCAATAGCTTATGAAAGAACCTTCCAAAACGTATGTCAGATGGAATACTGAGGATTTGTAACAAGCACGACTTGAGGTGTTTGATTAGGAGACTTTGATTATTCACTCTACTGTTTTCTGTCTTAGAAATTAGTTTCATGTCATGATATACACTCTTTTCAGTCTTGCTCGTCTGTCAGTTTGAACTTTCTCAAAATTTTGATGTTCTTCAAATTTGAATGTTGTTTTGTTTTACTTGTATATATTGTTTTGTACTTTTTTGAAGTTTATGTTTGATGCACCCCCTTAAAATGGCTTAAAGTGCAATTTCTTTTATAAATTTGATAATCAAATCTTCATGGAATATTGGGATCTGATAATTTGACTTTGTTGTCTGAACGTGAAATTTTCTTTGCTAATTTCCTCTGTTCTTTTTATGTGGTCATGAATAGTGTCGAACCAGTTTGCCACAGTGCGATGTGGAAGCTGCCAGATGGCACTTATGTATTCATATGGAGCTCCATCAGTTAAATGTGCTGTTTGTCACTATATCACAAATGTTGGAGTAAGTTCATTAAGTCTCTACATTGTTATGCTAAGGGCTCCTTTTCTAATTATTTATTTTTTATTTTATTTTATTCTATATTATTTTATTGTGTGTTGCTTTTCCTGTTTTTTCCACATATCTTGTGGTTGATTCTGCTGAAAATTGGAATCACATGTTCTTTTATAAGGTGCAGTTGGAGAAGGATAGCTCTTTGTATAAGTGATCCGAATTTAAGTCCAATTGAAAGAAATGCCATAAAGTTAATTAGCATCCTGAACATGGAGAAAGGCATAGCTGGAATTTATGGTTAATTGTCTAGAATGAGACAATATTTCCAAGCTAATAATAGCCATGAAAGTTTATAAAAGCTCCTTTGCAACCAAAACTTAAGTAACGGTTATATAAAAAAATGCCACCCTGAATTTGATTTTCTGATGCTTGAGAGGGTAATTTCAGATTTATGCTATGAGGATTGACAATTGAATTGAGGCAAATTGCTATCATCAAGTGTTGCATTGTCAGAGTTTAAAGTGATTGTCTTTTGACCTAAGGTTTTCAAGGACTAAAAAAACTCAGTTATCAAAATATATACTACTGCAATATCCTGGAGATTTTATAAATGTCAGCAGTCATCTTATAAAACACTAAGGTTATAAATATAGTGACTTTGAGTGAGTCCAGAATCTATCTAAAAAGTTGATATTTCTGTCATTCACTTCAACAATTCTAACTCTTTTTCTATTACTCACATGCTCATTTCTTCCACGTTTCGTCCCTTTGAATTGGAACTTCATTTCTTCCTTCTACCTATTTTCTTCTCATCTTCTCCCTTATTTATTTATTTTAATATTTTCTTCCTCCCTCTTTTTTCCTTTATTTAAATTCAAAATTTTGCACTCGACATGCTTTTTAATTCATAATTTTAGGTCAATATTCCTTTTAACCATCACCAATTCCCTGTTTTGAACTAATGCTTATTGTATCTGACTCTAGAAATTGAAATTTCAACCTAACAAAATGTACTAATTTTATTACCTTAAAATTCAAAAGATGGAAATTATTGCTATATATATATATATATATATATATATATATATATATATATATATATATATATATATGTATAATTTTTTTAAGAAAAAGGCAAATTCTCAATAGTAATGCTTTGGTTTTTTTTTTTCTTCCCTAATTATCTTTGGTCAACCAAATAAAAACTTTATCACAAAGGACCATCCATTTATGTTGAAAACTCTTCTCCATGGCATTAATAAGGATTACTGCTAAATTCTTAGTTAAATTTTGTGATTTCATGCTAATTAAGAAGTTAAAATTAAAACTTCACTATTGTGTCTCAAAATCCTAAAACAATTTCTATCCCAATTCCTCCACTTTCTTCCCCTCGTGTTTGAACGTTGGCAGCCATAATGGACTCCCTTAAGCTTATTTTACTTGTTTTTACCATTACAACCACCACTTCCCTGATGCCTTATAGCCACCACCAATACTCAGTGCCATCTCTGTCTCTCTCTCTTTTCTAGCACTTGTTTTTTCTCTCTCAATTTTAGCTGATCCCTCTCATCCCCTTACAAACTACCATGAAATGACATCATTCTCTATTACCAGATGAGACAACCATTATTACAGCCAACCATCCAACTTCCTTATCTCTTCTACTTTGTAACCTAAACTTATAAATTTTACAACTTGTGCTAGTTTTTATGAAAGCTAATTTCTTCACATTAGTCATTGTGGATTGCTTATGTGGTCAAGGTGTAATTTTGACCCATTTTAAGCTTCTTTCCATAGTAGCTATGAAAATTTTGTTGGAAGAAGCATGTGTCCATGGAGATATTTTTTAAGAGTCAGTGTGAAGGGCATTGTCATTAGTTCACAATAAAATCAGTTAATTAATTACAACAAGAATTTGACATAGTTCCCTTTCAAATGTCATGAAGCAAGATTTAATTTAAATTTAGGGGCAATTGTGATAGTAATTTTTATTTTATTGTAAAGATGGCCAGAAATAATTAAAAAAACTATACGCTACCATTGAAATTTCTCAAAAGAATAAGATTCGTGACATTCGTCCTAACTTGAATCTTACAGCCGCCACAAAATTTATACACTTTAAGAATACAGCCCTCTCAACCACCCTCACCACCATATTTTCTCTCTCCTCCCTCTCCACCACCCTCACCATGCTTTTTTCTTTCTTCTCCCAAACACCACCATATTTTCTCTCTCCTCCCTCATAACCACCACCAGCACTGTACCACGAGTTGTCACTGCCCCTCCTCTTGTGACCACTAGTAGCTGTCGCCTCTCCTCTCGTCAGATCGAGTCACTGGACTCACCGTCGCCCCTTCTCTTGTGAGATCGTGTTGCCGTGCGCCCTTCCTCTCGTGAAATCCAAGTCGTTGCTGCCGCCTCTTCTACCCTCCTCAAGTGGGTTTGTGGTGAGGGGTAATTTTAGAGGTGCATGGCTAGGGTGGTTACAGCCCCCTTATGGGGTGGGTGGTATGGTGGTTGCAGGCTAACTAGGGGTGGTGGCGTGACTGAGGGTGGGTTTCGGGTAGGCGGGGTGGGTTTTTGGTAGGTTTCGGCAGTTTCTGGTGGTTGCGGGGTGGGTTTCTGGTGGTTAGGGTGGATGGGTGTTGGTGGTGATAAGGTGGTTGCTGATGTAAATTTGGTGGTATGGTGGTGATTAATCATTTGCTCATATGTTTATTTAGACTCTTTAGAAGTTTTGTCTTGGGAAATGTGCAAGGAATTTTGTTGCACAAAATAAGAAACGGAGTAAATATGTTAGTTTGTTTGAAGGTAATTTTATCACCGGAATTGGTCTTACTATCCTTTTGCTTACATTTCAGAAAAGCCATAAAGTTGGGGGTTTGAATCGGAGAAGTTTCATAAACTGAAAAAAATGTGATAAAAAATAAACTTTTTTCTTTGTATGTGATGGAATTTGGCCCTAGATGTTAGCCATGGGAGGGCTATATATATGGGAAGGAAGGAGGAAGATAAGATCATGTGCAGAAGCAAGAAAAAGATCGACCAATGTGATGAGGAGAGAGATAGAGAGAGCATGTGAGGGGGGAGGAGATTAACTGTGAATCACTTGCCAAAAATGAAGCAAATTTTGAGACTCATCAGGAGTTATATTGACTTATTAACCACATTTTAGCATTGAGGTGGTGTTTTAAAAAACATTGTTTGGTAAAAAAGTTTTTCACAAAAATAGTTATTAAAGGTGCTATGTATCATAAACTTAATATATGATAAGGTAGATTTTCCTTGAAAATTAGCTGAATCTAATCAAAGGTAGAGCTAAATATGGTCATGTCAACCTGTTTAAAGTCACTTTAGCATGGATCACATTTTGGACCAATTGATATTTAAGTTGCCTGAATATCTAGTTGTATCAGGAGCTTAGTACTTCAATTATTATGGTGCTTTAGGTAAAATTTGTCTTTATTGAAGTTTTACTATTAATGTGTTCTCCAGACTGCCAATGGATCAGGTTCAGTTCATAGACAAAATGGTGTAGCTACCTCATCATCAACTTCCACAGTAAGTGCTAGAATCACGATTAAATACGAGTTGTCTCTATGACTTTCTTAGTCTGTAGTCACCATCCAAAAGGATAAATTACTCTTCCTAATATGTGACGTTATGACTTGGTTCTGTTTCTAAAATTATCATGTGGTATCCTTTATCTATAGGACTTTGACGTAATTATTTGTAGACACCTGGTCTTGTTTGTATATGTTATTCTTATAAAACATGCCATATTCTTGTGTGTTATGCAGCCTGTCCCAAGTTCCCAAAGTCAAACCGTGGTTGTGGAAAACCCTATGTCATTTGACGGAAGTGGTAAATTGGTAATGTCCTATGATTCCTCCCTTTCCTGATTGTATTTGTAATTTTTCTGGTCATTCGAAGCAAGAACTAACTTGCAGCTGTTTAACTTCGGCAGGTTAGTAATGTCGTTGTTGGGGTTACTACAGAAAAGAAATAATTTCTGGTGTAACTGCTCGGTGTCTTTCTCCTTTTTGTGAAAAGCGGATCTTGATTTATTCTGATAATTTGCTTTGTTCACTGAGCCCCTTGTGTATCCTTGTATTTGGTATATTTCAATCAACCAATTGCTTATTGTGAATGTTGTAATTATTATTAATCTTACGGGAAGGGTTCTTTTATTTTATTCATATCTGTTATAGTGTGATTCCATTGAATATATGTATAGTAAAAATTTAAATCGAATTTGTTGTTCAGGACATTTAAGCACGAAGACAAGTTTGAATGAAATAGAGACTGCATATTCTGTTCAATATTTCAATAAATTGCTCTTTATGATTCTCGTGCTGGAGTTACATCATGACGGCTTTGGTTTATAGTTATACTAGTACGTGTTCCGGGCGTTGCCCCGAATACCCATTTTAGAAAGTGTACTTACTTGAGGGCATGTTTTGTATAATTATTATAATTTATAATTATTATTATAATAATTATTATTATTAGTATTTATATATATTTTTAAAATATTAGATACAAAAAGAGAGTAGGAACACTACCTATTATTCTTTTTTTATAATTGTGTGAAAAGAAGAGTGCGTCAAAAAAAGTTAAAAGCAATTATTTTTTTAACACGTAAAATCAACTGATTATATTATTGGCCTAATTGGATCATTTGTAATATATGGCTGGTAAATGGGCTATAGAGGCTTTGTAAAATAATGAAAGTAATTTTTTTTTATTTTATTTTTATTTTGTGTTAAAGAATATTATCAAATGAAATTAAATTAAAGTAGAGTACTTTCATTTTTCTTGTTTAGTCAATTTGGTCCGATGGTTTCAGCCTTTATCTTTCAGTATATGATATACCCTCCATCAACCTCCTTTGTTCTTAAGCCCAATTTCTATAAATTGATTGTTCTTCTTTGGGTTTAATAATTCCCACAATCTAGTGATCCTTACTTTCAAAATCCAGTCTTGTTTGTCGTTATTGATTTCTAAATTCTTGATCAAATTATAATTTACTTGATCATGTGATGTTCTATGCTTCTGAATGGTTAGAACATAATTTTGTGAACATACTTGAGAAATTTGAGTTAACGTAAAAAGGCAAACGGAAACTAATTGTAGTATTAAATTTACTAGTACCTTTTACCGTTTATTGCTTCCATTCTTCTTAAAATAAGCTGAAAAAAAATAATAATATGATTAGTATATATATATATATATATATATATATATATATATATATATATATATATATATATATATATATATATATATATATACACACACATATACATATATATATTATTGAAATGATTTTTAAATGAAAAACCTGTAAAGTTCTGAGACCTTGCTAACATTGATCTAATTCACTTTAAAATTCCCTTATATTGTACAGTTTTTGTTGTGTCTTAATTTTAGTAGTTTTTTACTTCTTTAATTTAATTAACAAAACCACAAATATACACAAAAATACTACAACCGAATATGAATAACATTTGATTCAAAAGCTTTGATGGTAAACCAATGGTAGACTTAAAAAAAATAATGATACATGGCCATATTTATAATTATAATATAATTACGTGGTTATTCGTATAAAAGTAAAATTCTATTGTTAAGCGGATATTCATATTAATTATAATATGTGGTGTGTTGCTATAAATAAAATTCTATTGTCAATAAAAAAGATAAAAAAAAATTCAAAAGAATTATAAATTATTTTATGTATATTTTTTTTTATCCTAAACAAATCTATCCAATCTAATTTAACAGGGCATCTAAAATAATCATAAGATTTAGGATAAACTTTTGGCGTGAATGTTAAATATGGTCATATATTCCCTTTTGATAATTTATATAGTAGTTGTAGTTTTGTTTGTAAATAGATATCTATGTTATTATTGACTTGAATTTATTTTTTTATTGATCTTAAATTATTTTTTACTGAACTGAAAGTATTTTTAGCAAACTAATTTATTTTTAGCGATTAGAAATTATTTTACATATTCTCCATTTTCTTTTTGAATAAATTAAATATTTCTATGTTATTATTAACTTGAAATTATTTTTTATTGAATTTAAGTTACTTTTATTGAACTGAAAGTATTCTTTACTAATATTAACTATTATTTTTTAAAATAAATTAATATATTATAAATGGATCTTATTATAAAGAACTTTTTGAAACGAATTTTATGATGGAAATAGAACCGAGTTAAAGGATATTTATTAAAAGTTATGATTAATTTTGTATATATGAAATATTAGAAGTATATCAACAATAAAACTCTATACGACAATTTTATCTTAAAAAATCTATCCAAAATTCGCTTACTTAGCATCATATGTGTCACAATAATACCTAATTTTCGCCTATGTGGCGTGACACTTGGCAAAAAACTGGAATGCCAAGTGTCGCTGTCTCATGACCTGGCTGCGAGACCGGCTTTATTTATTAGTGATATGATATGATATACAGTCAAAGTTTAATCCTGAGTTGTTTTCAAAACAAAAATCGATGAGTAGTACTCCGTATGAAGGATATATTAGGGGTAATCTTAGCTTGACGTCGTGAATAGAGCAGTTAAGAGCTGTCCATTTAAGCAAGTTTAAATTGCAAAAGAGAAAGAATGTTCTCATCCTTTGAACTGGGCAATGCCCACATTGTTGATAAAATTTCAGCATAAACTTTTTTACTTGAATGTTAAATACGGTCTTACAATCCCTTTTTATAATGTAGGATATTTAGACATACGATGTCATATCGCTTATTTATTTAAATAATAGTGTACTTTTTGTAGTTTATTTTGTGAATATCTACGTTATTATTGACTTTAAATTATTTTTATTGAACTTAAATGGTCTTTTTTTTCTTTCTTTTTGTTTTTTTAGTTTTTACTAATTCTCTAATATTTTTTTAAATAAATTAAATATATTATAAATGATCTTATTTTAAAGAACTTTTTAAAACGAATTTTGTGATGGAAATAGAACCGATTTATATGATATTTATTAAAAGTTATGATGAATTTTGTTTATATGAAGTATTAGAAGTATATTGATAATAAAACTCTATACAAAATCTTTATCTTAAAAAAAAACTATCCAAAATTCATTTACTCAGTATCATATGCGTCAGAATAATATCTATTTTTCGCCTACATGGCGCGACACTTGGCGAAAAATTGAAATGCCAAGTGTCGATGTCTCGTAGCCTAGCTGCGAGACCGGCTTTATATATTAGTGATATGATTACAAGTATTATTGAAAAACATTACTAAAAAAAGCCAAAAAAGCATTTTCTCCTCTCTAGAAAACAGAAAATCCCAACTTTATCTCTTCCACCACTAACCTCCATACAACCTACCGCCTGCTTGCCGGCGGTCGGCGCTATCTTTCCTAGCCACCGCCAGTTGGTTTCGTTCTCGTATAGTACCAGGGGTTTTGGGTCTTAGGTGTTGGCCATTCCTACTCCTTGGGGGAACATTTCGGGTGGAAGAGTCTTTCTTTCCTAGGTATGGAGAGTTGTTCAATTTCTTCTTCAGCCTTAGGTTTGTTCAAGTTGGAGGGGGTTGCAATTTAGGTCTTGTGGTGAGGACTTTCACAATTAATTTCTCTTTGACATCTTTGAAGATGGAAGCCGAGAGTGAGGGTCTCAATATCCAAGGCCCTCCAAGTATGTTTTATTTTTCTTTTTAGAGGTTTGGTAAGGAGAGTGTTAAGTCTTGGTCAGGGGTTGCATTCTCCGTTTTGGAAGGACGGAATTTAGTGTTTCGCTTAGCATTGGTCATTGTTACCTTTGCTTTGTTTTTCCTATATCTAAGGATGGTACTTTGAGAGCCCTCCATCAAGTTTGTGCCTTCTTCATGCGAGGAAAGGCCGAGAATACCCAACAATGAGGGTATCATGTCAAAAGGTCAAGTGACCTTTTGTAAGAGAGTGAGTCTAGAATTCCCTTATTTGGCTTTAGGCCCTTGGGATTACTCATTCAGTGGCGAGCTCAAGTCTCGCCTACTCCTGTGTTTACAATCCTTTACTAGGAGCAGTTCCTTATTTCCACTAATTTCATCGAAATTTCGACTTTATTTCTATGCTAAAGTTCCTCTACTAAGGCGTTATCATTTTCGTTTTTCTAACCAACTTTATAGCTTTGGCAACCACAAGTAAATTGTATTTTTGTAGGTTAGAAATATTATCCCAATCCCATTGATGTCACAAAGGTCCCCAAGATGTTTCCACAAGCCTTATTTGCTTTCTATTTAGTGGTTTTATTGGTTTGGTTTGTTGTAGTTCCTTCCGTTTAGTTTGTATCCTTTAGATTTTGTAATTGCTCTTTATTTATGAAGTTCTCTTTGTCAAAAAAAAAAAAAAAGTCACTGATTCGTTGTATGACGGTTTTAATTTGTCAATTTTACAGGTACTAATGAAGATGTCTTCGTGTTGTGTTTTTGTATATTGACAATTATGATTTGACCTAAAATAAACGGGTTGTTTTACAAGTATATATGGGTAAGAGGTTTCAAGTTGTCTTTGTGTTGTGATTTTGCATATACTTCTTTCGTGTTGTTCTAATTATAACATTTGGGAATTTGCATTGTTCATGTTAACGGATTTTCTATTTGACTTGCATAAAATAATAAACCTTATTACCTATTTCACCACCTTTGTTGTTTTATATGTTGGGCAAAACAATATATATGGAGGAATAAAGTACTCGCTTTAACCCTATTTGTTCTTCCCAAATGGAATCGAGGAGACAATTAAGAATTTGAATCTTAAGGAGAGAAACAACTAAATTAATTTCACCACCTTTGTTGTTTCATATGTTGGGCAAAACAATATATATGGAGGAATAAAGTACTCGCTTTAAACCTATTTGTTCTTCCCAAATGGAATGAAGGAGTCCATTAAGAAATATGAATCTTAAGGAGAGAAAAAATTAAATTAATGTAGATTCTAATTTTTACATTAAATAGTCTCACTTTTTAATACAAAATAACAAAAAAATTAAAAAAAAATAAAAAGAAAAAGAGGGATTAGGAAATTAATTGTGGCAATTGGGAAGAGAGAACGATGACAAGTAATATATATAATCTCTATTATATACTCCCCCTGTCCCTATTTTATTGTCCCATTTGACTTTTTACGGTTTTCAAGACGTGTCTTAGAACGCATATATTTTCATTTCCATATACGTTAAAATTATAAAAACATGGTATTAATAAAATATGCTATGAGCCAAATCTAACAAGATTACTCATGACTATATTATCTCTTATAGATTAACGGTAAATTACGGTTAAAGTTTACATAGTTTGACCCAAAAAAAGACAATGG